GCACACTTGAAAGTAGTGCAGGAGTAAGTGAATACTCAAGGCTGCATGTATTGAATTTCAAAAAAATCTACAAGCACTCCAACAGATAAAACATTTTGTTGGCTTTTTGCGGCGGCGGGAATGACACCGACAGCGGCCGCCCAGAGACGGCTCACGGTGAGGGATCTCTGACAGTAGCCGAGATTGTGTGCATTGGTTTTGTAATGAAAGAGCCGGGCGGCTTCAGTGTGGGCTGTCAGTGGAGGAGCCTATTCTCATTTGACTCCGCATCAAACCCCTGTAAACAGCCCAGGGGATGTCTCGCTCCTTCTCATCCCGGGTGGATGGTCTGGAGTGAGAAACGGCTGAGGGTAATGCAAGCGTGAAGTTGTTGATATCACTGTTACTGAGATTGCACATTTTAAATGCGTCTTGATGCAACTATGTGAAGTGCTGATAGAGTGGCATAAATAGGAGTTTACTTCCAAAAAACTCATACCGAGTTTCTCATATCCAACGGAGAACTTGAACTTGAAATTTCTGCTAGGTCCTAGAGAGACTGTTGCAGGAGTCGTCTAAATGCAGTTATCTGAAGTGCTGATGGTGATATCACTGTTACTGAGATTGCACATTTTAAATGCGTCTTGATGCAACTATGTGAAGTGCTGATAGAGTGGCATAAATAGGAGTTTACTTCCAAAAAACTCATACCGAGTTTCTCATATCCAACGGAGAACTTGAAATTTCTGCTAGGTCCTAGAGAAACTGTTGCAGGAGTCGTCTAAATGCAGTTATCTGAAGTGCTGATGGAGTAGCATGAATGGGAGTTTATTTTATGGAAACTAAAATCTCTGAATAAAACTCCACTGGTTTCTATTAGGTCCTGGAGAAATGGTGCTAGAAAGGGGTTGCCATCTTGATGCAATTATGTGAAGCATAAATTGTTTACTCCAAAAACTCATACTGAGTTTCTCAAATTGAACAAAGAACTTCTCAAGATACTAACAGAGAAGCTCCGGAAAGTTTCAACATAGCATTTGTCTTGATGCAACTATATGAAGCACTGATAGAGAGGCATAAATAGAGTTTGCTTTGAAAAACTTCATCTCAGAATATTGATAATTCTCCCTGGTTTCTTCTAGGTCCTGTAGAGACTGTTGCAGATGGGTTCGGTCTGGTGCTGTCTTGATACATTTATGCGAAGTGCCGATACCTTTGCATGAATAGGAGATTACTTTGTTACATTTATGGAAAACATCTCAAAACACTGAAAAACTCCACTGGTTTCTCTTAGGTCCTGGAGAGACAGTTCCAGAATGGGTTGCTATCTTGATGCAATTATGCAGAGTAGCATAAATTATTTACTCCAAAACTCTAAAGTTTCTCAGATTTAACAAAGAACTTCTCTAAATAATAAAAATGCCCCTGGTTTTTCCCTGAGTCCTGGAGCAACAGTTCCAGAAAGTTTCAAAATGGAATTTGTCTTGATGCAACTATGAAGCTCTGATAGAGTGTCGAATTTCCCATATTCAATGGAGCTGAAAATACTGAGAAAAATTCCCTTGGTTTCTCTTAGGTCCTAGAGAGACTGTTGCAGAAGGTTTTGTCTTGATAAAATTATGTGAAGCGCTGATACGAGGAGCACAAGAGTTTATTTTATGGAAAGCATAATCTCAAAGTACAAAAAAAAAAAAACACTGGTTCCAATCTAGGTCCTGTAGAGACTGATTGCAAATGGTTTCAGCCATCTTGATACATTTATGTGAAGTGATGATACCATTCATTTATTTTATGGGAAACTTCATCTCAAAATCCTACAAAATACCACTGGTTTAGTTTAGATCCTGAAGAGACTTTTTCTAAAAGGGTTCAGCATTGCATCAATGATTTGTTTATAGAAGAGCATACATTTTCAAAACTCACTGTCCCTGGTTTTTCCTTGGTCCTGTAGGGTTCGGTATGGTGGTGTCTTGTCACATTTAGGTGTAGTACTGATACAGAGGTTCTCATATTGTGTGGAAAACTTCTCAAAATACTCAAAAATGGCCCTGTAGTCTCCTAGTCCAACTCCTGTTGGTCTATAAATTCAACTATATGAAGTACAGAGTTTCTCATATTATAACAATATACTAATAATGTCCCTGGTTTCTCCTAGGTTCTGGAGAGACTGTTCCAGAAAGGCTTCAGCATGGTGGCCTCGTGCGGCGGGGGTGTGGACTCCTCCCAGTTCAGTGAATACATCCTGAGTCGGGAAGACAGACGGTGTCAGACCAGCCACATGCCCATCAGGATAAAACAGGAGCCTCTGGACTAGCCAGCTCTTGTGCCAACCATGAACACCCGAGTCTGCTTTTGAAAGAAAAAAAAATGCCAGCGGACAAATAGAAGACTTAAACTTAATTTGCAAGAAGAGTTTGCTTCAACTCTTTGGACTTGGACTGACATCTTAGTAAATGTATTTCATCAACGACCCCAAATCTGCTCCAAAAAATGCTTTACAAACCCAAGCGAGCCACAGGATAGCTTTTCATCTGCTGACCTCCAGTTGAACTTTTTAGCCGTTTCTTTGGCTCAAGTCATGAAAAAAGCATTCATAGATCTATATTTCCACAGTACATATCCATATAAGTTCGCCATTGTATGTGCATAAAAGAGCGAAAAGAGGAACTCTACAAGGAAGTTGCGTTCATGGCGAGCGCACCTTCTGGCTAGAACACTTTCAAATGATGCAGCAGTCTGATCTCCAAGCTCCCGGGCGAAATTAACCACAAAATACAAAGTCTGTCCTCTGATCCATTTTTAATCTAGATATCTAATGTTCTCATTTTCCAGTCTCATCTATGTAAATCAGTTCTTTTATGACCTACAGGTTTATTGCTGTTGTCTCACTACATGAAGAATATGAGAGCAGTTCTCAGAAGTCATTTGGTTGTAAGTGCGGTCTGGATTCGGCTGCATAGACGCTTTGACTTGAGGCTACGTGGCGGCTAAAGCAGATGGTCTGGTAATGCATTCAGCGCTGGGCAGAGAGGCTTTTTGTTTGAATATGTGTAAAGGGAAACCTGGACTCATGTGGGAGAGCTTTTCTGATGGCATCGCTAAATCCGCTTTTTTTTCCTTGGGTGCCCGTTTTCTTCAAAACTAGCCCTGAACTAGTCGCTAGTTCATTATACATAATTGCTTTGAGTAAACGGTTAAAAAGTAAAGATCTTTTGTAGATACAGTGTCCAAAACAACATCTTGTTTAATGAATGACCTTTTGAAAAAATTTGATTAGTCAGATTGTTAATGAATGCAGCACTTTCAGGGGGCGATACTCGGACCGTTTGAGAAGAGGGGAATTACTGTGCCCCTCAAGGCCTGGAGACGGAGGGGCTACGGGTCAGACTTCTCTCCAGGAGTTAAGGTCACTTTCCCACAATCCCCTTCACTCACTCTCCCTTAGCAAAACAGAGCCACTCAGAGAGAGACTGAGGGAGAATAAATTTGAAAGGTTAACTTGGTGGCTGGTAAACAGACTGAATTGCATAATGTGTTGTAAAAAGGCACATTTAATAGGAGTTCTTTGCCTCACAATTTCAAACGGAAGGGTCACTGAAATGTCACAGATATGTTGTTATGCTAAGTGTTGTCTTAACTGGCCAGCGTTTCTTTTCAGATTTATTTGATTTGTTGTACATAAAGGCTCACGGACGCTTTGCAGGCCCCCCTGAATGCAACTTATCATCTCGCTGCTGCGCAACTGCCATTTGGTTTTCGATTTCAAGGACGAGAACATTAAAAAGACGATTATCGGAGAAGCTGCGTCGGACGTTACATAAATCTTAATTTAAATACTGCTCTAATGGATGTTGTGTCAAGATGTATATTGCAGTATGGTCCAAATGTATATTATTTAAATAAAACATTTTTTGTAATGGATTATTATTGATATGAATCATAGTGGTATGTCAGGCATGTGTTTATTTGAATTGTAACATTCTTTTTGTAATCGGTGTTGACAAACAAACTTTTAATAAATTGGTGGAGTTCTTTCCCTATTTTAAACCACTGACAGCATGCATGTGAATGTGTCGAAAAAACTTGATATACAAATGACAATGAACATAGTCAGGGGTAATCAAAAACCTCACTATGAAATGGAAGATCTTTTAGTATTGTGATATACATTCGAGTGAATCTTCAGAAGAGAAAAAAAAGTATTGAGGGGACTTGGTTCTATCAGTTGTTGATTGGATGGAGGCAGATCTGAATGTGAACTTGCAGTCTATTGTAAGAAAGGGGCGGAGTTTCAGCAGACTAAATGATTGGAGAAGTATGGCACATATCAGCAGAGAGAAGTCTGTTGATTAAAATTTCGTTCACCCAAAAGTGAATATTCTGTCATTAATTACTCAGCCTCATGTCGTTCCAAACGCGTAAGACCTTCGTTCATCTTTGGAACACATATGAAGATATTTTTGATGAGTCAGAAAGCTCTTGGATTTCATCAAAAATATCTTAATTTGTGTTCCGAAGATAAACGAAGGTCTTGTGGGTTTGGAACGATATGAGGGTGGGTAATTGATGACAGAATTTTCATTTTGGGGTGAACTATCCGTTTAAACATAAGATTGACATTTTGATTAAAAATGCCAAATTTTTGAATGACACATGGATGAATAGTTCCCAATAAGATCAATAACAGCATTAATTTTCTGAACAAAATAATCAACTACAAAAAAAAGGAGGGCAGGACTTGACGTTTTTAATCAGAAATGGACTGAATCATGAAATGTGGGCGGTAAACACCAGAATACAGCCTCACCCGATTGAGTTTTCACTCAGCTGTGAACAGGAAAAAAAAAATGTCCCAGAAATCAGGCCACATTTATTTGATCCTTTACTTTCTGGTTATGTTGTTGAGAAGTTTGACACATTAAATGTAAAACAACATTAAAGAAAGTCTTGGCAGAATATAATTAGGAACTTTATTCTTTTACAAAAGTACAAATTTAATAGAGATGCTTTTTTTGCTTTTTTCCAAACCAACCAAACATTCAAAAATTGTTAAATTTAGCAAAAATAGAAATTCTAATAGATGTTTTTTACACAAAAGACAATCCCTTTATCAACAATACTGTTTGTCTAAACGCCAGCACAAACAATACGAATGAAAACCAATCTGAGAGATGGAAAAAGATTTTGCCTCAGATCTCAAAGGAATCATTGCACACGACATGAACGCTGACTGTCTCCCAACATACATCTGTACAGCTCCAAAATGTCAATGTTGAACACGTCATTTCTTCTCCTACTGCATGTCATAAAGGGCAATATACAAATATTCAGTACTTGACATAAAATAATGCCCAATGGCAGATACCAAATTTATAATGAACTTGATTTCAAACACAAAAGTACATGATCCAAAATGCGACATTAGTATTTTAAAATCATTACTGCAGTCTGTCAAAGCCACCTCATTTTGAACGTATTTAAAAAAATAGTCAAATGAACAATATGAACAACCTGCCATTTCTCCACAAATAAGTTACGAGAGATCCTGCTCTAGAATCGTTGGTGAAGCGATGCATATTAGTATTAGCATATTAGATAATTCCATGCCGTGGATTTGATTAAAAACAATGGTGCCCCAGGAGGGCCACGTAAGGCACCATTTCACAGTATACTTAATGCAGACACTAGTGAAACCGTACACACCTATAACCCCACACTGAGTGTGCGAGACAAAACTGTCACTGAATTTCAAAAGACCATCCAATAGGATGAAAGACAGTCAGTGTTTTACAACACAGAGTTTCTTCATTTTGCATAAATCAGTAACAAAAGAACCCCAAAACATCCACACGGATCCTCAGAGACTTAAAGATGCGCTACTTATAAGTTACTAAAAATACTCCAGACTCGTTAGACCTCTAAAACCAGGAACTTTGCATTCACATTTCCAGTGTCTCTATTGCAAATGAGGCTTTCGGTTAAAAACAAGTCCAGCCGCTATTTATAAAAAACAAATCTCAATCTCTATCCTGAAACGTAAAACCAGTTCAAGTTAATGAATAAAAAGATCAACATTGCTCAAAATGATGGCTCATTAATCCAAAACAAAGGGGACATAAAACCATAAAAGGGTGACCCAAAAGGGGAAAAATAAAAAATAAATAAATCACATGGTGTCCACAGCCGCCGCCGGTTTTTCCAGAACCTTCTCATCTCCAGAATGCCTACGTTTGGAAGATTTACAGCAACGTGCTCGTTATGACACAAAGAGTACATGCCACAGGTGAGTCTGAAGGCACAGACCGGAGATGAATGCAGAGAAGGAGAGGAAGACTTGAACATATTACTGAGAGTCAAGCAGGTGGAGTACCATTAGCGTGGATGATCTCATCCATCTCACTGGATCAGTGCTACTTCAGAAGGGCCTTGTAGAGCAGCATGGACCTGGCTGTGGTTCGCTCCTGCTCCAAGCAGAAGATCAAGTCCCTGAGGTTGACCCGGGTAATGCGCTGCCAGGTCTGCCGGACTGAGGATGTGGAGGATGAGGTAGAACCGGTCGCTGATCCGGAGGAGCCCACAGGAAACTGAAAGGGAATAAGGAAAGAATTGATTAGGTCATTGTTCACTCATTTTTTATATATTTAGTGTGCGTTAAGGGCACTGCACTTTGGCATTTTGAAGACATGGGACAGACTTGCACACTTACTTCCTGTCGCACGCACGCGCTCTCAAGTGGCCAAGACCGCAAGTGTGGGTATTTGGACAAGGGGAGAGTGATGAAGCCAATCATCATATATGGGGATGATTAGGAAGCCATGATGGTCAGAGGCCAATGGGCAAATTTGGCCAGGATGCCGGGGTTATACCCCTACTCTTTTTCGAAGGACATCCTGGGATTTTTAATGACCACAGAGAGTCAGGACCTCGGTTTAACGTCTCATCCGAAGGACGGTGCTTTTTACAGTATAGTGTCCCCATCACTATACTGGGGCGTTAGGACCCACACAGACCATATGGCCTCACTAACACCTCTTCCAACAGCAACCTAGTTTTCCCAGGAAAAGGTTTTCCCAGTTTTTTTTATTATTCAATTTAAAACAGTAGAAAATTATGGAAGCCCGTTTCCGCCACTGAACAAAAAAAAGAAAAAAAAAAGAAAAACAGACATCAGACTTTTTTTCCTCGCAATTCTGACTTTTTATCTCGAGTTAATCGTTTATCTTTTTCCCCTCAGAACTGAAATTTATAACTCACAATTGTGAGTTTATATAATGCAATTCTGAGAGAGAAAGTCAGAATTGCCAGTTTATCTCTCACAATTCTGACTTTATTATCCACAATTACGAGTTTATATCTCACAATTGTAATAAAGTCAGAATTGTGAGATAAAAAGTTGCAATTAACTTTTTTTTTATTCAGTGGCGTAAACAGGCTTCCATAGAAAATAAATTCAATAAAATAAAAAAATATATGTAACTTTAATTCTCAAAGATTCAATCAGGTGTTTTGTGTTAAATTTTAAATTGTAACAATTTATTATCATTATTATTATTATTATTTTCAAACTTAGAATTAGGTCAGATTTTTTTGTGTAAATTTACAATAGTAAAAAGGCACATTTTTAGACAAAAATTAGATTGGTTCACATGGTTTTAGCTTTATTTAAAAGTCAAAAATTCAAATCACCCAAAATTAAAGTCTTTGTGCTACTTAAATCTGAGAAAAACCAGCCCAGCCTTGCTTTGATTCCATAATGCGAGCATTTTGCCAATAAAGACCTAGCAGTCGTCAAAGATCCTCTGGTTTTTGTGCTTTTGTGTGTTTGTCAGCACACCTGCACAACATGTGATCATCTGTTCTCAGCTGGAGGCTAGAGAACCACACCTCACGCCCCGGGCAGCAGACTTTTGATCTCAACCACAGTATCTCAAAGCGCTTCACCTTCAGACTCCACTAAACAAATGAGTGCGCAAGAGTGAGATCAAACCGAAAGTCTTATGAAAAACAATAAAGATCATTAAAATAAAATCTACGCTTAGTCAAGACAACGAAACGGAGCGCTTGCGACCAGCCGTCGCCACATTAAGATTATTTACACAGTCCACCTCGAGGGAAAAGCCCTTCCATCTAATTTCCAGGAGGAGGGAGGAAGATGGCATGTGTATCGTATTCATCAGCCGTACAGGGGGTCTATAGCGTGACATCAGTCGGCTGGAATGAGGTTAGGGTCTCCAGCCTTCACTGAATACTAAGTATACGTGAGAAGGTGTAAGACGGCCTCTGGGCACAAAACACACACCACACCCTACAGAAACAACCTGCAGCATTGTGGGATCTATATCACCCTCATACATGCTCTTACACACCCTGAATGATTCCCACTCTCACACACACCCAGGGCTGGCAAAGCTCAAGACATGTTTACGTGGGCAGGTCGGTGCGCGGTCTTGTACGTTGTTAATGTTAGGTCATTATTTGAAAATTGTCAGGAGCACTTTAAGGGAAGAATGAAATGCAAAACTGAAATTAGAGATTAATGCCAAAATTTTCACTCATAGCCACACCCAGAAGAGACCGTTCCAGGAAGTTCAGTACAAGCGATCAAGTGATAGTAAGCCTCTGGTTACATTTTGCACACACTTAAATAAACCTGAAATCAATGCAGAGCACTGGATGTCGTATGTGTGCGCGGAGACAACAACATGAGCTAGTGATTTCACATCCGATGCAATGTCACGCAATAGTCAACAAACACTTCTTAAAAACAGACCCGCTGCATTTAGTGATTTCAAATAAATGGGTCCATGACATGATGCACATATTTTGGATATTACAATTTCTTCAAAATGTAATTAATATATGCAATGACTTGAATACACCTTATCTACAATGAACAGGTTTTTCCATTCTTAATTAAAATTCAATTTATATTTTTGGTCGTAAAACTATAAAAAAAAAAAAATTAGATTAAAGTTAGTTGCCATGGAAACATTTCTAATTTTTGTTTTTAAGTACTAAAATTACTAAAACTGAAATAAAACCAAATACATAAACAAAAACTAAGAATAAAACAAACAAACAAATAAAATGTAAAAAAAATCTTAAAACTAAAATAAACTGAAAAGTTTAAAAATAAAAGCTAATATTTGATAATTTGATCTTTTTATGACAAGGCAAGTTTAAATCAGATTGTAAAATGTTGTGATGTGACTCCCCAAAATTTATAAATTAATAATTCATGACATTTACAAAACATACTTTTTATCTTTAAAAAAACTTAAATGAAAAAATAAATAAGATGTATAATTATGTGTACATTCACATGTACTTTTTACACGACGGTTACACCACATGACATTATGAATCAATAAATTGAAACTAATGAATACAGAGTACATTTCTAAGTTTTTTTTATTTTATTTTTATTTTTTTTTATCATGGACACTTATCACTGACCCATAATAAAATAACAAAAAGCAAAACAGACATTATCAGTAAATGAATTCATTTTTTAAAATAAAAATCCAATATATAACCACCTAAACTCTAGCCTTTAGTAAGAGACAGTTGTACTTGCTCAACTCGACATTGCAGTACAGGAAGACAGCATTTCACAGTTAGCATGTGTGGGTGAACACGCTCAGGGCATTTTGCCACTATCCTAGTGGTGCGTTAGAGATGGAGCTTGTTAAGCCTGCATAAATGTGTAAAGATATGGATGAATATATTACAGATGTGAGCATTAACGTGCCCCAGGCGCTGAGAGAAATGTATTTTTTTAAACCACATTAGCTGTGGAGTGGAATGTGTAGGGTACACAAGCTATCTTTTCGAGTGTCATTAGGGTTAAAGTGTGTTGTATACCCTTGAGTTGTGTTTGCGTGTGTTCACTGTGTGTAGGACAGCAAACACCTCCAGAGGAACTGACTCCAAACCCTGAAGAGATGAGGCAGCTTACACTTGTAGGTTTCTGAAAGCCATGAATTGAGCAGAACGGCATGAAACGTATCCTTCAACCAGACGTAAAGGTCTTAAAATCTTCAAAACAAGCACAAGCAGCGTTGCTCCAAAGCTACCCTAGAATTGAGAAGCCCTTCAACTCAAAGTGACCAAACCACCACAGAGAAAACCCTCTCCAGACAAAATGAGAGGGAAAAAAACCTTATTACTCCACCTTATTCCTCCAAACGACTGTGAGCACTTCTGGCCTCTAAAGGTTAGAGAGTGCCTGAGGGTGCTGTGTGTCTCCAGCGTTTGGGGAAATGACTCGCCTTGCCTCTGCACGAACACAGCCCAGTCTCTGCAGAACTGCCGCCTGGGGCTACGCAACCCTGCTCTACTTCACTTTAACCCTATACTAGCCAGCTTTTTGATGCCGGCCTTTTACTTTGATCCAGGACCATCTAATCTTGTGCAATTATAAAACTATGAGAGACATGGCTGGGTTTCAAAACAGGCCACTTCAACCACAACGTCTTCATGGTTTTCTCATTCAAGAAGATGCAGAGTTAGGGTCGCATACACTGTTAAAAAATAAAATTCTTTATTGGCATCGATGGTTCCATGAAGAACCTTTAACATCTATGGAACCTCAATGGTTCTTTAAAGTGAATAAAGGTTCTTTAGATAATTAAAATGCTCTTTACACAAAGAAAAAACAGTTCTTTTAAGAACTGTTCACTGAAAGATTCTTTGGGGAACCCAAAATAGTTCTTATATGCTATTGCTCCAGAAAGTGTAAGATGGTGCTACGAAAGCTACTGTCTAAAAGGACAGCACAAGAGTATAAGGCTCTGGTCATTTTTCCAGCCCATTTAAGACACAATCCCAGTTTGTGATTTGGTATGTATTAACCATGGATTAAATCTGTAAACTAGTTGACACTACACATAATTAAAAAGTCTTGCTTTGGGGAAGGGGATTTTCTAATTAGAGACATAGTGGCAAAGCTGCAGTTCCTTTGCCTCCAGTAAAGTTGAGGAGCTGAGGGCCAGAGCTGGGATAAAATCCCAACCAAAACACAAGGCTTTGTGGTGTTCCATCATTACCTCACCACATAATTAACTACAGACACAACAAAATGTAGCATAATGTATGCATGCTAGCTCAACTGGTGAAGATACTACCACAAACCCTTAATCAACCCTGAACCCAAAACACCAACAAATACTTTTCAGATGGGTTGTTTTCTTCAACCTTTAGTAAAAGAATCAAATTGATAGCTTCAAACACTGATGAATCTAAAAAGCAGATAAAACTAGATGCTGTGAAGACAACTGATATTCTGGACCTTTATTGGGTATTTTAAATGGTTTTACCATGTTGCTATGCAGTTTCTAGGGTGTTCTGGATCCAAATAACCATAGAAATACCTTAGAAACTACATAAACAAATGCTAAAATTACCCAGAATACTCCTAACAACCATATAAAACATGTTAGGTGTTCTAGGTGTTTTTTACCATGTTATTTGTTTGCTAGTGTAAATTTCTGGGTGTACTTGGTGGTAGCTTGCCACATTTTCAATAAAAAAAAAAAAACCCACTTCAAGTCTTCAGTACCCCAAATACAGCATGTTTTAGGCA